CCCGCGCCCCGCCCCGCGCCCCGCCCCGCACCCCGCTGCTCGCTGTCTCCGCAACATTACACTGATACCAAAGATTTAAACTTCTAATAAAATATAGTGCTGCAACTTGTGTTTCATTTTTGTATATTATAACATACCTGAATTCGCCGAAATGGCGAAGTGACCGCTAACCATAGATATCCTCAACTGCAAATGCCTTATCTACTTTATAATCAACGGAAAAGGAAATGCACCGAAAGAATATTTCCCCTGTCTATTCATCACTTTCTCCATCAAATCCTCTTCCCCTTAGGAGGAAGCATACAGCTAATAGGTAACGCAATATCAACATAAAACAACTATAGGGACATTAGTTAAATCAGAAAACCGTGGGTATTTATGAAAATGTTTTCTTCAAATACCCACGTATTTGTGTGAATAAATGACAAACACAACAATTGTCAGTCAGTCGGTGGCGAGTTGCGAGTGAATGTGCACGATGTCGGACCGAGCCGGAGAATGGGATCGGAGGAAAACTTATCTCACAAGGTGTTTGTTTGAAGATTTACCCTGTGAGTGAACATAACTAAAATCAATAAATACATACTAAATTTACTAAATATGGCCTAATCACCCTTAACTTAGGGTAGGCTCCGAACCCCTCAGTGGGGATGTATAGTGAGCTGATGATGATACTAAATTTGCAGTCAAAGAATTAAATTCGGAACCCACTTAGGATCAAATAGTTACAGCAAAATGTCAGTTAATTAGAATGTATGCATGTTGCTCTGACATACTTTCGTTCTAATAGCATTTCATTTTTGGCGCAAAAATAAAACTTCCATTTGTGTTGCAGTATTATCGCCGATATCAGAAAGAAGAGAACCGGATCAGTCCGACACAGACTATCCGTACAGTGTACTACCGGAACTCATCATAGAGAAGGAGAAGAACCGTCACGATGAACCAGAGGAGTTTTACAAGGAGTTGGAAAAAAGAATGCTCAGGTTGTACAGGAAACTGTTTCTTTGTCAACACGAGGACAGCTCAGTTTTGTCGATAACTAGTGCTTCGAGCTGTGATGTCACAGAATTAATTGAAGATGAAATAAGCGAAGATTTAAATAACGTAGTAATTAACAACATAGCATTGGATGCCAATGATTTTGTACCAGATGATGAAAGTATAAAGATGTCAGCTGGTGCTGATAAACAAGTGATATATTCATGCCCCCAAGATCGTTTATTACACAGTGACGATGAATGTTCCGAGGGTCCAAGGCATGAGGTGATCACAACAGAAGCATTGATACATGTAGGGGAAGGGAGTCAAAGGAAGAGGAATAGTGTTTCAGAAATAACGGAAATGATGGTGGCGCAGAGTCCAATAATAGGATGTAAACATGTGCAGCAGATAAATGAGGATTGGGACGAACAAATTTCTGATCGACGTCTATCAACACAAGGTAAAATACATTTTTATAATAAACTAGCGGTCGACGGCGACTTCGTCAGCGCAAAATTTAAAAAAAAACTTAGTAGCCTCTGTGTTCTTCCATCTTTGTATCAAAACATTCGCATTTCACCTAATTTTTCGGGTAAATGGAGATGTTGTTATAGCCTATTAACAACTCTTGAGGCCCTTACGCCGTATTTTATTATTTCATCCCATTACGAAAGGATAACTAATTACTTCATTGATCTTTTTTGTAGACGCTACATTTGTTAGTCCTGCCAGTCCTATTCTAGTCAGCAAAGGTTATGTCCTAGACGAAAACATAGCACGACTTGTAGCAAGACAAGGTAAGATATTTTTACAACAATTCATTGGAAAGAAATTCTAAATAACGTAAGTGTTTTATTGAGATTTCTTTGTTTCAGCCACTACACAAAAGTATTCAAAGTCTACCAGTCACGAGTTTGAAGTGTATGATTTTAGTCCAATTGAAGTTATGAGACAAGTAAACGAAGATAATTCTAAAGGTTCTATTCCAGAAGTGAGGAACAGTCGTAGATCTAGCATGGAGCCTGAACTTGTTAGGAATTTAAACGAAAAAGAAGCGTCTCCTATCAAAATGACTCAACCATTAATTGAAGAAGAAATGGCCTCGGATGCTGTATGTTTTGATCAAGAATCAAGAATATCGAATGGAATAAATACTCTCAGAGACGTAACTAATATCTCGTCTCCTGTATTGGATAAGAATTCTAGAAAAAGATTACGTTCTGATAATTGTAACGCTTCACAAGAATTGCCTACGAAAAGAACGAAATACACAGACATTGGACTACAAACAACCATCGAAGAATCATTTTCAAACGTAACGCAGCCGTGCTGTGAACAGCCACAAACTAATTATTTCTACGGAACTCCTATGATTTTGAATATCTGCCGATGTAAAGATCACATCTGTGAACTGTGAATGAAGATGAAATGATTAATGAATGAATTACGTATTTTTTTACAATTATTTTGTATTAATTTTTATCTTATTTATTAATTTTAAGTTATGTTTTGTGCTATGGCACTAGATACTTGCGAGCGTAAGAAGAAAGAGTAAACCACGGTTCGCGGATTTAATAACAAATACATAATCAAATGGTTATTTAAATGATCTAATAAATACTATTACTGTTTTTTTTAATTTATTTTTTATAACATCTAAACCAATCCAATAATTTATAAATCCCGCGTATTTTTGAAGTCAAGTAATGGAATCTTGACGGTTATTTAAACGTAGTTATATTATCTGTGGTAACTCACACCTTCGCGCAACCTGTGGCCGCGTGCGACAGGTAACGTATACGTTATCTGTCAAACTTACAACTTTCCGAAGTTACTTTGAAAAAACGCCGACTTGTTTTTCAACTAAAACAAGTTTTTTTCTTCAAAAACAGTGTCCTAAATGTAATTTTTACTGAGCTAATTTAAACTTTTGTGCCATTAAAAGTGATATTTATGTGTTAGATTATTTATTTGAAATGTTACAACTAGTTTTAACAACTTTAGTGTAGTGCGAAGCGATTGGATTTGGATTATTTAACTTGTTATTTTACACGTTACCTAAATTAGGAGGGAAGGAATTTGGTCGCCCTCTCGAAGGTGAGTTATAGAATATATTTTGTGTTATAAAATAACTTAACGATTTTGCGACTTAACTTATAAAGTTGCGAAACATGTTCCGTATATTCGAAGAACGAAAGTAGGCTTCTCGTGTTACTTACGTGCCTATTCTCTCTAATAGCCATGTATAATCGTTATAAAAGTGTTTCTACGCAGTATTATTGTATGTATGTACGTGTCTCAAGTTATTAAGTTAATTTAATTAATGGTTTACTTGTAAGGATTTTTATTTAAAATGTACTTAGTCGGAAATAATTTAATTTATGCATTTTAAATAAAAACCTTGCAGTCTTATCAGTATTAAAATTTTCCTATTGTTTTTTTTTCAACAGTATCAGTTATATTATTTTTATTTAATATAATGTTACCTAAAACATATTTTATTTTAATAACTTCGAAAAACAAGTTTTATATTTGTATGTATTTTTAAAATATTCTAACTGTATTTTAACTTGTGCTAGAATGCTAGATTTAAACTCAATACTTAAGTATTGAAGCTTGCATCTTAAGCTTTAGGTACTTATAGTAAACTGCATAACAACAGCAAATTTGATAAGTTACACTATCTCTGCGTTCCATGTCATCTGCTTGCAATTCTTGACCTAATAAATAACAACACAATCAAGATAAATACACTTGTCATTTAAATTTTACTGTTTACTCTGTCACATAAGAAAATAAACAACTCATACAAATTGAATGAATTAAACACTGAAAAAAATGTTATGCTTTTTATTTTGTTCCAATTGGAATAGACATAGTATACATATATTCAATAAAAAAAAACTAAAATATATATTCTTTATTTACTTAAGTATTTAATGTGCAGTTTTTTAAGTTATTATGTCACCACCAATACTATCTCTTCAGTTCAGACAGACCAGGGCATAGAGCAGAATGGATTTTTAATCACAAATAAAATTGAGCTTTACTCAATTGAGACAAGGTTTAATTTTACATATACATATTTTATCAAGAGATTTAAAAAGATGTGAAATGTAAAATTAAACCTTATTTGTATGGCATAAAGCTCTATTTTATTTCCAATAAAAATCAATTCTGCTCTCTGCCAAAATTCTATGATTGGGACCCTTAAATAACAGTTTCGGCTGAACTGCATGATTACACACTTTTCAGTCATTACTAGATACTGCTGTAACTCTAATATAAAAAGTTATCATATAATACTCCTTGAAAAAAAAGCAGATGCGCTCACACATTGATTGGTCCAATGGGATTTTTTTCCGTGGCTTTGAATCGATATAATTATGCAAACAAGGGTAAAAAACAAGGGAAAGTTCACTGAGCTGACGCCCATCCTCCATTAAATGGAAAGGAACTTTGAGAGAGAGAAGGGTAAAGAAATCCAATATCAGCTCAATGGGAAATAACCGGAAAAAATGTATATACATATGTATATACACATAAAGTGCTTAGCTCTTCCTGGTGTGTGATTGTTTCAAGGTTATAGAGAAATTGTAATCAATCATAAATAAAAACTGTCACTGAACAAGAGGAGACTAACAAGGTCAAATGATCTCACCGCAACATAAGACAAACAGTGTTATCTCACATGTTTACATAACACTGTTAATTTGTGACCGTTTTATCTTAAATATAGTTTTATTACTTATTTTTTATGCTTGCATGTACAAGGTGTTCAAGCAATGAAAATGTAGAGTTTGGTATGTGTAACAGTGGTAGAGCCCACTTTAACATATTCGCACGAATTGGCCCGGGTCGCCCGGTGAAATACCACAACCACACAGAAGACACGCCTCAAGTGGAAACTATTCCAACTTTTTTTTTTTTTTATAAGAGAAGGGGGCAAACGAGCGGCGGGA